GGGGCCGGGCCCGGTGCGGTCTGAGGGGGAGGTCGCCGGGGCCCGGTGCGGTCCGAGGGGAGGTCGCCGCGGCGGGAGCTGAGGGCCCCAGCGCCCCCGCGGGAAATGCAGAGGCTGCGGCGGAAGCCGGGACCCCCTTGCCAGACCTTTTTCCTCCCAATAACCGATGGATGTCTCAGCTTTGCATGTGGACACGGTTCGTATAACCACAGGACGAGTTGAGCGCAGCGCTGGGGGTCAGTGCCCGCTTCCGTGCTGTCCAAAGGGTGCTGGGGCAGCGGCGGCCGCCTTCCGCGGGAATCACAGCACAATCCTGAACGCTGTACCAGCCTTGGGCAAGGGGGTGATAGCCACTTGAAGCTTGACTTCTGGAAGCTAAAGAGAAAATAGGCAAGATTCCGGTTTATCATGTACAAACCCAAAAGCAGGGAAGTTGTCACGAATTTTGTAACCTGGGAGTAAAAAAAAAGAATTTAGCCCGGCGCCGGTGGCTCACGCCTGTCATCCTAGCTACTTGGGAGGCTGAGACCTGAGGATCACAGTTCAGAGCCAGCCCAGGCAGGAAAGGCTGTGAGACTTAGCTCCAATAAACCACCAAAAAACCGGAAGTGGTGCGGTGGCTCAAGGGGTAGAGCGCTGCCTTGAGCTGAAGAGCGCAGGGACAGCGCCCAGGCCCAGAGTTCAAGCCCCACGACCAATAAAAAGAAAGAAGGAAAGAAATTTAATCCATTAATTTCATGGAACAAACCACAGTGAACAGCTCTTATCAAGAATCCAGAAGTCATTAAGACAAGCCCCTTATGCTCAGTACATTCATCTTTGAAAAGGGAGAGAGACATGTCTAAGTAAATGATACTAACAGTGCTACAGCATAATGGACAAAATCCAGCCAGCCTTTGTAACCCCTCTTTATGGTATTTTCACAATAAAAAAAAAAAAAAAGATCGAGCCAGCCAGAAAGCAAAAGATGGCTTCACCGGGAGAGTGATATCTAAGCTGAATTTTGAAGAGCCAGTTACATTTTTGCAGATGGACAGGAGGGTATTCTAATCAAGAAAACCACATATATGCATTAGAATTGTTAGCACATCATTACCACTAAAAGATTGAAAACTATAAAGAGGAAAAGTTAGAAGAGGAAGGAAAAGGTGAGAGGTTCTAGGTTGTAAGGCGTCATTATGCCTGAATGATAGGCCCACGATAGTTTTACTAAATGTGGGATAATAATTTTGTACATTGCAGTCTCCAACTTGCAACCCCCCCCAACCAAAAAGGAGAACTTGCTTTAAACATTTGTACTAGGACATTATATATTAGGTACGTTATATACTATGTATTATAATTAATATAGTGAATATATCATATTGCTGTATTAATATGTTATATATTCTGACATATTTACATATATATTAAATGCATTAAAATATAACATGATATAAGGTTGACATTATATCAGTATTCCTTAGTTTGCTAACCAAAATCTTTCAGTTATGCCTTTTCTGTTTTAGCCCTAGATTACAAGTTCATGATTTATCTCCCCTGCTTTTAAGGAGTTTTAAGCAAATTGTGTGGCTTTAAGGCCCTGTCCACGTCATTTTTCTGCTCTTCAGTTTTTTCTTTGATAAAAATCAAGGACTTGATATTAATCAACTCTATCACAATTATAATCTACTCAGCCTACTCACTCTACTGAACATTTTTGTGGGGGGAAATACATGCACAGATTCAAGAATTTAGTAAACTTTTCCATTATACAGGTTAATGCCAGAGAAATTAAGGAAGAAGGAGGGATGGGACCACAGTTTCAAAGCAATTCTCATTCAGACTGGATGGGAAGTTTTTAATCTTTTGTGCTTGCTAGTCTTTAATTAGTTGGACTGCCTACAATTTGACTTGTTCAAAAGAAACTCAATGTGTCATTTTTTAAATCAAATTCATAGATAATACACAAACAGGGTTGGTTAAGTTTTCAAAAGCTCTGAGTGACTAATATTAATTTTTTATTTTCAGCTTGTTTTATGTAATACTTAAGATATGCAAAAAGGCATATAGAAGAGTAAAAGTGGTGTACCCACCACTCAGATGGGGATAGTAAACTTTTTTGTTTTTGTTGTTGTCATGGGGCCTGCACTCTGGGCCTGGGTATTGTCCCTCGGCAATTCAGCTCAAGGCTAGCACTCTACCACTTGAGCCACAGTGCCACTTCCAGCTTTTTCTGCTTATGTAGTGCTGGGCCTCGTGCATGGGCCTCATGCATGCAAGGCGAGCACTCTACCACTGAGGGTAGTAAACATTTTACAGTTGAATCTGTCACCTTTTCCTACTTACCTGTCCTTTCTTCCCCACCTCTTGAACTTGGTGTTTATAATTATCCTTTATTTCTTTATACTGCACTACAATTGAGTCCTTAAAGAAAATATAAGTTTTAACCTAATTTTAAATTTACAGAGAAGTTCCAAGAATAGGATGTGATAACCATTAGTCCCATAGTAACCTTTATCAGACTCACTAATTGTTTACTATATGGTCTGGGTTTACTCCATTAGAAAATATAATAATGTTTGGCATTGTTTAAATACATTAATGGTATGCAGCACATATTCTGCTCTTTTTCACACATGTTTGTGACACATGTAGAATTCATTTTTTTCTGTTGTACCAACAGTCTTCTGCATGAATATACTATAGTCTACTAATGTCTGAATTTATTTCCAAATTTTTGTTGTTTTAAACAGTATTGCTATACATTTAAGTTAGTTTAACTTCTGTAAAACATGGAGAACTTTTTAGGAAAAGAAGGCACATGTAGCAACTGTAAGACAATGTAAAAGAAAAAATTAGGCACTATAAAAACAAAACACAAGTATTTTAAGGAAATTGAAATTTTTCCCCACATTAAATTTATAGGAGTCCATTTCTCAAAACTATAATGGCCATGGATATAACTGCATTTTGCATTCACAAAATAATTAGGCCTTATTCTTGTGGTTTATATTTATCTTTGCTACTCATTTTTCTTCATTATTGTGGGTACTCTTGTTATGAATGCTCCAGTTAAGTCTTCTGTAAATTGGAGCAGAGAATAACTTCCCATTGATATCACTGAGAACATTTATACAATTTTATTTTGCTAATGAAAGGAGAATGCACTCTTCTGCCTTCATTATGAGGAAAAGCTGATGCCAGCTCTCTTCATTTAGGAGCCATGTGTGTATCTACAAGTGACCAATAACTGTTCTGTTTGAAAACATACATACAGATATATCCTTCATCAACTTTACCAAGTAAGTTTTACTAAGCAAATCACATATTGTAGGTGAATGACCTTTTTTCTCCCAGCTATTCTTAATAAAATTCTCAAGAGAAATCCCACCTGAGAAAACTAGACTTAATAGGCTGAGAAATTTGTTCCTATTACTCAACACTAAAGCAAGAATTCAAACCCAGGGCTCAGTAATGCAAACCCAACCAAGTCCACATCCCTGTTCCTAACCTTTGAGCTACATTCATTGTAGTTAGCAAAGTATATTTATTGAACACTTGAATGGCAAAAACTAACTTAACTACATACTGTATACACCCCATTATACAGATTAAGGAAACGAGATTAGAAAGGTTGAATAATTTTAAGATTATAGCAAGTTAGCAGTCAACTCAGATTCAATTCCAGAATTTCTCGCTTCAGAGACCGCATCTGCCATATCAGTATCTTCTATGCACTCTCAAAAGACAATACTGGGAATATAATGGCTAATTTAACTTCGCAGGCATTTTTCAGGATTTCCATCTGTAAATGCATTTAATCCATACCAGTTAGAGTAGTTTTCAGGCAACTGGAAGGAAGGGTACTTAGGAAACATGTATGTCCATTAAAAAAAAAGTAGGAATGGGAATGTGGTTTAGTAGTAGAGTGCTTCCCTAGCATTCATGAAGCCCTGGGTTTGATCCTCAGTACCACATAAACAGAAAAAGCTGGAAGTGTCACCACTGTTACTCAAATTGGTAGAGTGCCAGCCTTGAATAAAAGAAGCTCAGGGCAGTGCCCAGGCCCTGAGTTCAAGCCCCAGGACTGGCAAAAAAAAAGTAAAATGTTTCGTTAGAATATTTGAAAGTTATTTCTATATTTAAGAAAGTTCTTGTTTTTGTTGTTTTTCAAAGTCAATTATTTGAGGCAGAGAACTACATCCAGGGACAGTATTTATCCAATAAATTGTTTTATATCTGAGAACTAAAGGATCTTTTAAAAACTGGACCACTTTCTCAAAATCCTTCAGATGCACTTAAGGGAAATGGAGCTTAGTCAGCCGGACAGGATGTTGTCATACTCACAGTTGAGAGAACGGATTTATTTATAACATTAGATCAGCAGTCAGCAACCTGCCACTTGTTTTCATACAGCCTATTAGCTAAGAATAGATCTCATCATTTTTAAATGACTTGAAAAATCAAAAGAATATTTTGCGACAATGAAAACAGGGCATGTGAAAATATGTGAACTTGGGCTTTAATATGTAACAAATCTTTTTTGGAAGATAGCCATGTTCATTTGTTTTTTTTTTTTTGTTGTTCATGGCTGTTTTGTGCTGTTATAGCAAAGCTGAGTAGTTGTGACAGAAACCATCTGGCCTAAAATGCCTAAATATTTACTCTCAGGCTCTAGTTTGCTGACCCTTGCACTGGAGTAAATGAGTTAAAGTGCAGATGCTGGAGCTAGATGGAATTAGATTCATCATTGGGTGCCTTCATCTGTAAAATAAGTTCTGGCCATTTCATCAGAGAAGCAAACAGAATAGTGACAAGTAATTAATGCTTTTTTATCAAGGAAAAATGAAGACAAGAGGTTTCTATGCTCTTCTTGCTGACAGTATGATAACAGAAAATGTAAGAACATAACAAGGACATATGATGTACAACTATAACTACCTTAGGCAACTTTTCTCAGTAGTTCTGCACATACTACTTACACAAAAATATAAAGATGCTTGGTTACACACCACAGCAATCCTAATTCAAACCAACTTAAACTATCTCAAAACTATAAAGCCTGTCTCAAATTCCATTACTATGGATAGTCCACACTGTTCTCTGGATTTGTTATGTCCTCATCGGCTGATAGGAGCCTGTCTTCAGCTGTGGCCACCATCTCATCTCCATCCCACGGGCATCCCAATCATTGAGCCCGAGACCTGAGCTCATGTTGGCTGAGCCTGAGTCAGCCATGAAGCTGATGGGAATGGAGCCGTCTACTGCCAGCCGCACCCACACCACCCGTAGGAAGCTGAGGGTGAGATTACCTAGAGCATGTTTAGAAAGAAAATAAGTACACAATTAACTGCTTACTTCAATCTAACATCTTTTTTTTTTTTTTTTTTGTCGTCATCTTGGGGCTTGACCTCTGGGCCTGGGCGCTGTCCCTCAGCTCTTCAGCTCAAGGCGAGCACTCACCACTTGAGCTACAGCGCCACTTCCGGTTTTCTGGTGATTTATTGGAGATAGGAGTCTCATGGTTTTTCTTACCCGGGCTGACTTTGAACCACGATCCTCAGATCTCAGCCTCTTGAGTAGCTAAGATTACAGGCGTGAGCCACCAGCGCCCGGCTTCAACCTAACATCTTGAAACTACTTTTGCCTGTGCTTTAGTTAAAATAGCTCTTTTGCTGAAATGTCTCTCAAAAGCAGTTTTCTTTCTGTCTAAAAGATAGAAAATTAGAGGGTTTGGTCAATACGTTTGGGTCTTCAGCATCCTCATTCTCCTAACACTGTCAAGATCAGGGCTTTGGGAAGTGGTTTTGAAATGCCTGCTGTGGCTGCAGTGAGGACCTGCACGTGGTCCTCTGGCCTTGTGACCTTTGGGGGATTCTTATGTCAACACAAATGGAATAATGAACATTTAAAAATACTTATTTCCTTAGAAGGTCTGTTTTCTGGACTGGGGATGTAACTCAGTAGTAGTGAGTTTACCTAACATGTAAAGCCTCAAATTTGGTTTCCAGTGCTGGGAGAAAGGCTTATATTCTTTTCAGCTCCACATAGCAGCTGCCATGTGTAAAGCACTTTGGTATGGTTGTGTGTCAAGAAGGCTATATGATTTGAGCTAGTCATAGTGTCAGAGAAGTTGAGAAATACAATGGCCTCTTAACTGCACATGGTAGAATTCTCTCAAAAAAAAATAGAAACCAAAGCAAAAGTTCACTCTTCACCAGCAAGGCCTTTCCAAGAAAACCTTATGTTTTACTGAAACAAGACTGAACCATTATTGCCAGAAAATCCATGAGGGAGGGTTTTGTTTGAAATGCACAGCTTCTGAGATTGACTGGTTATTCTAATTACACAAACTTCAGCGCAGTGTTTCTTAGCTCTTACAGTTGCCATTCTACAATTGGACATTTCTATCATGCATAAATTTGTTAATTCAACACACACACAAAACTGCCCTTTCCGGTGAGATTTTTAATTCTTTTTTCAGGGTTACAGAAAGTGAGAAATTTTCTAGCCTGTATAGCTGACAGTTTTTGAGTTCTTGTTATTGAAATAATTGCCTCTCCTTTCTTAACTCCAGGTACTAACTCTTCTGCCATTTACAGCCAAGAAAGGGCGCCTGGAGACCCTCCCTCCCCTCAGAAGGGGGCTTCTGACTCTGGGAAAGTCCTTTAAATCAAAGCAGCTAATTAACTTCCTCGAAACCCCCTGTTTCCACTGCCCCTGGGAAGGCAAAGATGACTCCACTAGCTTAAAGGCACTTTTAATTAGACCAGTGCTTTGGAAAGCCTGATGTAATTCAGTCTCTGACACTATGAAATAGAGAACAAAATAGAGCTGAGCCAGGAGGAAAGATAGAGAAGCAGGAAGGCTTCTGTGTAGTATCTTCAGTGTAGGATGATTACGTTTCAAAGGTCACAAATTACTCAGGTCAGCAGACATTTTGCTTGTGTTTTCCAACACTTGATAAAAGGGAAAATTGTTATTTTCTACTAGTTTGAATTATTTGCCCCATATCAAAGCTTGAGTGCAGTTTTAGTGGACCCTCAGCCATCCCACTTCAGGGGATGGATAGTCCTGCTGTGGTTTTGTGAGTTGGCCATTTGGGTATATATTCTGGAGGCAGTGGCTATAACCTTGGGAGTAATACTATACCTTCTTAGAATACTGATGTCCTTGTGTGCTCTGCCTGCCTGCCTGCCAGCCAGCCATATTCAGTAACTAGTAAAATGTGTTCATCTTACAAGACTGTTTTTCTTTGTTCACACAGAGGGAAGATGAAATGTCCAATTCTAGGAAAATATCTACTACTAGGTGGTATGGTGGCAGGGGTAAGGAGACCTCACCCCTGCAGGTCAGAAAAGCAGTAGTGGTAGCAGTTAATAATTTGCAGTTTACCTATCAAAGTCATTTTCATTAAAAAAGTAGTTAAACTTCTCTGCTTGGAATGAATACTTAATAAATACTTCATAGTACTAATGGCATATTTCCATTATGGCACATTTTTTCTTAGAAAAACTGCTTCTTTTCTTACCCTCAGGACTGTTTCATGGCATCTGTTTATTTGTGAGTAATCAGAAATGCACATAGCTCTTCAGGAATCAAGCTAAACTTAAAGAAGACGGGTAGAAATTGGAGAGTGTCATGGAGTACAAGATTGAGGGAAAGGAAAAATACCAACATAGCTTGAATTTACTGAATAGAATTAAAAACATGAAAGAATTTGCAGAAATGATTGATGTAGTACTCATAGCAGAAGAGGAGAAATTTCCTTGCCATAGACTGGTTCTGGCTGCGTTTAGTCCCTATTTCAAAGCTATGTTCACCTGTGGACTACTTGAATGTACTCAGAGGGAAGTCGTACTCCATGACATCACAGCAGAAAGCGTGTCAGTGATACTAAATTACATGTACAGTGCTGCTTTAGAGATCAGCAACACCAACGTGCAGACCGTGGCTGTAGCTGCCTATTTCATGCAGATGGAAGAAGTATTTAGTGTATGCCAAAAATACATGATGGACCACATGGATGCCTCCAACTGTGTAGGAATCCACTACTTCGCAAATCAGATTGGAGCTGAAGATTTATCTGACCAATCAAAGAAGTACTTATATCAGCACTTTGCCGAGGTGAGCTTACATGAAGAAATACTAGACATTGAAGTGCACCAGCTTTTGGCACTTATTAAATCAGATGATCTGAACATTTCCAGGGAGGAGAGCATTCTGGACTTGGTTCTAAGATGGGTAAATCATAACCAAGAATTGCGTAAAGAGCATCTTGTTGAACTCTTGAAGCAAGTCAGGCTAGAACTTATAAGTCCTTCTTTCTTAAGACAGGCCCTAAAAAGGAACACAATGCTTCTGTGTGACGCAGGTTGCATTGACATCATTCAAAATGCATTCAAAGCCAGCAAGACGCCCCAGCAGCACTCCCTGAACCTTCGCTATGGCATGGAAACCACCAGTCTTCTGCTTTGTATTGGCAACAACGCTTCAGGAATCAGGTCGCGACATAGGAACTATGGGGATGCCAGTTTTTGCTTCGACCCTGTGTCACGGAAGACCTATTTTATTTCGTCCCCCAAGTATGGGGACGGTTTAGGAACTGTGTGCACTGGTGTCGTCATGGAAAATAACACTGTTATTGTGGCTGGAGAAGCAAGTGCCTCCAGGCTCTCAAGACAAAAGAATAAGAATGTGGAAATCTATAGGTTTGTATCTATCTGCAGTCTTTTTTAAAATCCTGTCTTGACACTGGCAACAGTAGAAGAAAATACTACTGAGAGGATGGTCACATCTTAAATGATACATAATGAAAACTACCCTGAAGGCTCCTGTAAAGGCATAAGCATAATACAGCATTGATGATGAAGTAATGTACATTTTTAAGTTACTGTATTCTTCCCGTAGTTTTATGGCAGACCAGGTTTGAATTTAGGATCCCCTGCTTGGTAGGCACTCAGCAAGCACTCCAACTCTTTTAGCTTTCATTATTTTTTGAATGGTGTCTTGTGTTTTTGCCCACAGTTTGCCTACCTATTTCCTCCCATGTAGCTAATAATACAGGTGTATACCATGAAATGGTCTCACAGTAAGGCCTTGAACTTGATCCTCTGCCTTTGCCTTCTGGGTACTGAGATCACAGACATGCACCACCAGACACAGCTATATCCATTTATTTTTTGCTATATCCATTTTTCTTAGTAAGTTTTAGAGTTTTTTCTGGGCATTTTGTTTCTCCATTTTAGTTCAAAGTATTATTACAAAAGTTAAATAGCAACTCACCCAGAAAACATGTATTTCTCAATCTTGGTAGGGTATATTTCAACTCAAGCCTGTTTTCTTAAACTTTGCCACAGAAAACCAAAACCCATTTTTCTGAACAAGGTACATATTCATTCTACTAATTTGTCTCAGTAGCCCCATACAGATACTTCATCTTTCTCCTCAAAACCATACAGTTAAAAATAGTAGTGAAAATACTCCCTGTGGTTCTAGGGACTTGCCTTCCTACCTTAAAATACCTAGAAGACAGCCATCATAAGATTTGCTGTGTCTCTGCAGTCAGCCCTGACAAACTGTGTGTTCAAGGGAAAGATTACCCCATCCAGCTTCCCTGGCAATCCTGGAGCCAAGTGCTTTCTCTGAGGAGTGAGGGTCAGGACAAATGAAGAAATGCTTATTACATGATTATCTGTCAGAGGTTACTCTAAAACTGAACTCTGAACAAAACACATAATAAGTCCTGCAGCTGGGAATGTGGCTTGGTGGTAAAGTGCTTGCCTAGCATGCATGAAGCCCTGGGTTTTATTCCTCAGTACCACATAAACAGAAAAAAACCTGAGTTGGCACTATGGCTCAAGTGGTAGAGCGCTATCCTTGAGCAAAAGAAGCTCAGAGACAGTGCCTAGGCCCTGAGTTTGCCCCTGGCAAAAAAAAACAAAACAAAAAAACCATATTTCATTCTTGTGTTCTAAATAGCACCTTTTTGTGGTATTTCCCTGGTATTTTATGGTTTTTTATTTTTATTTATTTTTTGGGGGGGGGTCCGGTCGTGGGGCCTGAACTCTGGGCCTGAGCGCTGTCCCTCAGCTCTTCAGCTCAAGGCTAGCGCTCTACTACTTGAGCCACAGCGCCACTTCCGGCTTTTTTCTTTTTGCTTATGTGGTGCTGAGGAATCGAACCCAGGGCCTCAGGCATGCAAGGCAAACGCTCTACCACTGAGCCACCTTCCCAGCCCCATGGTTTTATTTTTAATTCCAGGCATATTTTCTAGATTTTATGGGAACATTTAGTCCACATATTTTAAGACTATCAAGTCATGGAAAAAGTGCTGGCCAGCCAGGCATGCTGGTCAACTTATATAATAACAGCCTTTGGGAGGAGAAATAGGTAGATCACAAGCTCAGGACCGGCCTGGACTACATAGGGAGACCTTGTCTAAATAAAAGATGAACAAAACATTACACTTGGGGCTGGGAAGGTGGCTCAGTGGTAGAGCGCTTGCCTTGCATGCATGAGGCCCTGGGTTCGATTCTTCAGCACCACATAAGCAAAAAGAAAAAAAAAGCCGGAAGTGGCGCTGTGGCTCAAGTGGCAGAGCGCTAGCCTTGAGCTGAAGAGCTGAGGGACAGCGCCCAGGCCCAGAGTTCAGGCCCCACGACCTGACCCAAAAACAAAATAAAAAAAAACATTACACTTACCATAATCATGCAGCACAGTAAAGTATATCCATAAGCATGTACAGTCAGTGACTAGCATACCCATACCTCCCATAATCAGCTGTGAATTGGACTCTGGGAGGTGTCAGGAAATCATCTGTGTGCCCCAAATGTCTTTCTCCCAAGACTTCCTTCGCCAATATAACTATTCATGAAAGAAGTGGCCACAATTAACATACTCAGGTTAAAATAGATGTTCAATGCCCAACAGACATCTACAGATGAATTTTTATGCCATTTTCATGACCCAATTTAAGCCAGTTAAAACTGCAGCAATTCTTAAAGTTTTCTATCTCCTTCAGCTTACCCAGTTAGAAATCCTAAGCTGGAGTATTTTTAGATCTGCCCTCAAACCATGATTTTTTAAATTTGGTTTTAAAGTGATACTCTATTTCCATGGTGTAAGACAATTTTGTATCATTACCTCTTTATTACTGATTCTTTCATGATAAATTATGTGTTGAAAGTCTTTCCAATTCTTGATTTTCTTGGAAGTAACGGCAAGTCTCAGATAATCTATAATTTTGTGTGTATTATTTTTCCTACAAATGTTTAAAGCAGATGTCATTAATCATTTTCAGCATTCTATATGTTATTCACCAGTCCCTAAAAATACAAAGTGAGTCAATACCACTATCTTGTGTTAAATGCCTCTGCCCTTGAACTAGACAGATCTCATTGTGTTTAGTTGGAAAAGAAACCTAAATATATTTCTTGAGTGAGTTGTTTTAACGTTAATCCTAATCCTGTGTTCTTTTTCTCTTAACTTACAGGTATCATGACAGAGGAAACCAGTTTTGGGAAAAATTATGCACAACTGAATTTCGGGAACTCTATGCTCTGGGCAGTATTCAGAATGACCTCTATGTTGTTGGAGGACAGATGAAAATAAAAAACCAGTATCTTATTACAAACTGTGTTGATAAGTACTCTGTAGAACAGGACAGCTGGAAGCGAGTATCTCCCCTGCCATTACAGTTAGCCTGTCATGCTGTATTGACGGTGAATAATAAACTTTATGTGATTGGAGGCTGGACCCCTCAGGTTAAGAAACTTCTTACGTATCGAATTGGCATGTCTGTGCAGAGTCTGACTGCTGAAAAACGTAGCTGTTGGATATTAACAGTGTGATTTACATTTTGCAAAATGTCTTACATCTCATAAAATACAAACTAAGGTTTTAAGTAGCAAAGCAATTTTAGGAGAATGGATTCTGAAGTGTGCTTTTCATACAAAAGTTCATTCAGTATTCATGCTATGTTCTTCACAACCCTTGCCATTCTTGCTAGTTATGACAGATGCTGTGGGGAAGGGTCCTCTTCCTGGAACATCTAAGAGGATGGCAGCAGCCGCATCCCAGGCTGCCTGCCTAACAGCTGTATGACCAAGGGCAAGGCACGTTCAGGTCTTTTCCACACTTAACACTCTAACTGCAGATGGGAAAGTGAGGCACAGATTCTGTGAGGTACAGCACCATCACTTCCAAGCAAGTTATGTTTTCATTATAAATGCTTGATTTTTTTCTGTGCATCAACAGATGGAAAAACCAGAATACTGTTTATATATAGAGAGAGAGGCCAAGTCAGGCAAGCCAAAGCTAAACAGTAAGCTGTGTGACCACAGTACCCCTGCTTAGGACTCCTCTTGGGGCCTAGGACACTCACAGTCCTCTCTCCAGCCTGGCCTGGCCTCCTGTCTTTCTTACAGGAATGAGTCTTGCTAGCTCATCGGCCATCCACCCGATAAAAAGTGAATTCATTTTTGCCTAATGTTATGTCTTGTTTCTTTAGAATTGCTTCATGGTTCAACCCATACTTTTGCATCCATTTCATAAGCTTGATTTCTGCTGCTTACAAGTATATCGTAACTTTTCATAGCCTAAGCTTCATACTTTATTTTTTATTCATACATTTAAAATTTTTGTGACATTTTTATTTGTGCTTTAGATCCAAAAGCAGTACAGAGTTCATCACAGTAGCTGAAGACTGATGCATTATTTGTAGTTAAATATTTTTTAAACTTTTCCACTTACATAGTAAATTCGTATGAATGAGCTCCAAAAACGGCTGACAGGTTTTTCTCTTACTGGAGATTAAATACTTATATTAGAAGGAAAAGCAAATATTTACTAATTTTGTAGTCTCTGAACAGACAACATGAGTATGTATTACATAACAAAGGCTTTTGCTAATCTGATCACATTTATAACTTTATAATACATTATAATAAATTTTATTTTAATTGCAAGATAAATGGGCTATCAGTGCACTATGGTGATCATAATTCTTAGTCTTTTAAAATTGTGTATAATTCTCATAAATATGGTAATTATTTCTTTGCTGAATATTTAGATCTTAGCTTAAAGTCATAAAAGTTTCATGTAAATTATATACAAAAAGTATTTCACCTAATGTTTATAAGTAGAAGCTATTTACATTTGTGTCAGAGTAATTATTTCACTTTTACTATCTCTAGACATTAAAAAAGTGGATATATAAAATACCCTTAAATAAATTGTATTAATCTATATACCTTGGAAATTGAATTCAGACCATTCACATAATTGTGATGTAAAAATTCTAAAACATAAACGTATGTGAAACTGTTAGACTGGGAAAATATAAAGTATGACTTACTAAAATTAGTTTCTCACAAATATCTTAGAATCTACAATTATAAAGTTTGGTAAAAATAGAATATTATGGGCTGGGATGGTGGCTCAATGGTAGAGCGCTTGCCTTGCATGCATGAGGCCCTGGGTTCAGTTCCTCAGCACCACATAAGCAAAAAAGAAAAAAGCTGGAAGTGGTGTGTGGCTCAAGTGGTAGAGCACTTGTCTTGATCTGAAGAGCTGAGGGACAGTGTGCAGGCCCAGAGTTTAGGCCCCATGACCAGACCCCCCCCCAAAAAAAATAGAATATTACTTTGAAGAGTACAAGAGACCTTGGTTTCATTTTTAAGGTTTTCCAATTGTTTCATTTTTTTAAAAGTATTTTGCTGCTAAAAATCACTGATTATAGCCTCTAACCCTGCACATTAGTCCCATTACTACAGAATATATAAATTCCCCTGATGTTGACTGTGTATTTATAACTCTAAGGCCAGAGATTGGTATGACTTTGAGTGTGAGCCATACAGTTAACCTCTACTTATCTCCTCCACTGTCTGTTCTGATTAATTGCCACCATTATTCACAAAGACTGCGAAATGATACATTGTTCCATTGGCTGTCATATTTCACACAGATGGATCTTCCCGAGGAAGAGCCTGATAGATTAAGCAACAAGCTGTTCCGCTATGACCCCACCCAGGATCAGTGGCAAGAGCTCCCACCCATGCAGTACTCCAAGTACCGGTTCAGTGCGGCTGTGGCCAGTGGCGAGATCTACGTTCTGGGTAAGAAGCAGCACACTGCTGCCATCCATGACACCTTCACCTTCCTCAGCCTCTCAGTGAAGGCAGATACTCTCCTTCTAATTCAAACACTGGATAAGGGTTTCCTCTTTTCTAATTTTCTAGAACACTGTCAAATAAGACTAAATAGAAGTCCATTAAGAGCATTTTTGAGGGCTGGGAAGGTGGCTCAGTGGTAGAGCGCTTGCCTTGCATGCCAGAGGCCCTGGGTTCGATTCCTCAGCACCACATAAGCAAAATGAAAAAAGCCGGAAGTGGCGCTGTGGCTCAAGTGGTAGAGCGCTAGCCTTGAGCTGAAGAGCTGAGGGACAGTGCCCAGGCTCAGAGTTCAGGCTCTACAACCGGACCTCCAAAAAAAAAATAAATAAACTATTTTTTTTTTAAAAAGAGCATTTTTGAGTGCCTTGGAGTGAAACTGATACATCTTTTTAAATACTGCCAGGTGGTATACTGTGAAATGGGAATAAGCCTTTAACACTTTGGGTGACTGGGTGTGGGGTGTGAACCACTGTGTGCCATTAGAAGAAAGGGCGCAGTAGTAAGCCTGGGTTGCAGGTTCTGCCAGTCTTCCTCATTTACTCACCCGAACAAGTCTACAGAGGTGCTGCCACTGATGTTCAACTGAATGCATTTTCCTTGTCTCTTGCTCATATGTGGTCTGACTCTAACCACAGGGATTGGTGAAGGAATTCAATGCACCTCTACTAAAGTGGGTAAAATTCCAGACACCCCCTGTAGTTCTGCTATCTATCTGGCTTTACTCCTGGGTTTATTACGCCTGTTGCTCTTCCAAGTGCATTCCCTCTCCCTCCCCTCCTCCTCCCTTGCCCTCCCCCACCTTTTCCTCTGCTCCTTCCCTACCCTGCCCTTCCCCTAAGTTTGGGAAAGCCTGTGTACAGGAGGCTGATTGGACTCCTAAAATGGTTAACTGTGCCAACTCTTTATTTCCTCCCATATGCACTGTGGATAACTGACAGAAATATGGGAAAGAAACACAAGGGAATCCCTGAAATGTGAGTTGAAAGCAAACCAAGCATCTGAATAGAAATTTAAAAAAAAACTGAAGAAAGGCTGATATCTCTAGGCTGTTTGCACACAGCATGAAGAAAATATTTCATGTACTCACTGTACAATGTATTAATAATGGTTTTAAGAGCAAGAACATTGTGTAACATAACTTATGACTACTTCAGTTATGAGACTCACATAATTTTTTCCTTTGAATAAATATTCCTTAGTTAAGATCATATGCTATGTCATGGCCTAAGAAGAAATAATAGCTAAGCTGTGATGAATTGCGTAGGGTAGGTAAATTGCTCACGGTAGTAAAGGGTTGATCTACTAAGAAAATTGAAGTTAGGACAACCCAAAAGCGAAAGTGATGTCTAAACTGAACCAGAATGAGGTATCCTGAAATGTGGAGCCACAGGCCAGGCTAAATGTGGGGTGAAATGATCATGTGTTTCTTGGTAATTTGTATGGGCAAATACATCTTTTAGACACTTGGAAGCCAATACTTCATGGCATGGAGCTCTAAACAGACTATAAAATTCCTGTAGGTGAAATAGAAAACAAGTATAGTCTTCCAGAAAGGGGGCTCAGGAAGGGGCAGGGAAGAGCAAGCGGGAAAGCAGCATGAGAGGTAAGAATGAGGATTATACGAGTAGAGGATAGAAGAGACAAGCAAATGAACCCATAGGGACAGTTGTGAGAGTCAGTACTATAGGAAAATTGAGAAGCAGGTTATGAAGACATGAGCTAGAGAATTAAGAAAATGATCATGAAAAGGAGAAATCATACAGAACCAGCATAATTTAAGAATATTAGTGAAGTGATGATATAAAGAACAAATCAAGCTAGGTGCCAGTAGCTCATACCTGTATCCCTAGCTACTCAAGAAGCTGAGATCTGAGGATCATGGTTCAAAGACAGCCTAGGCAGGAAAGTCCATGAGATTCTCGTCTCCAGTAAACCACCAGAACACCGAGAGTGTGCAGGTGGCTCAGTGTGGCAGAGCACTGACCTTGTGCACAGTGCCTAGGCCCTGAGTTCCAGCCCCAGGACTGGCACCCACAGAAAAGGAGTACATCAATGACAAAAGGGAATTGGAAGTGAAAGGGTGACTCAGAAAAGTATTACTGGTGGCTTAAAATGCAGTGCCTAGCTATTTGCTATTCAGAACTGGGGACAGCTTTGTGCCCTGTAAAAAGGGGGTAGATCTGCTGCCTTGTAAAGTTCAACCCAAAGAGCCCAAACTCATTTTATAAGCTTTGAAATGGAGTTCCATTGTTTAAGATTTTGTGGTGTTCTTATATTTCACTGTCCATTGTGTATATATTTGGAATTTGGGCAAATACTATGTACAGTTCAACCCTAAAACACTACCCAAGGGTACCTTATAATTTTGGTTCACTGTTAGAGCAGAAGCCCTATCTGCTTTGGGGGAACTATAGTACCCCCAGTGTCACTGACAATCTAATCGTTCGACCTCTCCCTACTCCATGTAGTAAATACAATTCTTCCCCCTCCTAGACAGACTCCAGAAATCCCCCAGAGAGCCCCACCCATGCCCTTCCCCATGAGGCTTGACCTAGAGTGGGGAATAACCCAGTTTGGGAGTTCAGTAGGTTCAGACTAAAATCCTTTCTTTACCAATCACTAATCTTGGCCCCGTAAATCTTTCTAATATTATTATTTATATTAAATGAGGTATGCCTACTTAGAGTTATTGAGATTAAATTAAATAACATATTACAATACCCGAAGAATAAGCATCTAGGCATTATAGCAGCTATTTACGGAGCCATTTATAATATAGACTATTACAGTTTGAGTCTAGGTGTCCCCCAAATTCTCATATGTTAAAAGCTGGCCACTAGCTGTGATGTTGGAGAGAGGTGCTAGACGCAGTGGGGGGGGTCATATACACAGCAGTTCTCTCTGTCTCTCTCTCTCTCCCTTCCTCTTTCTCCTTCTCTCCCTCCCTCCATTCTCTTTTCCTCTCCCCCTTTCCCACCTCAAGCCCAAAAGAACAAGGCTGGACCCTCTGAAACTGTGAACCAGAACAAAGCTTTCCTCCCTGTGAGTTGCTTACCCCAGGCACTGCATCTTGGTGACAGACACTGACTAACAGAGATGCTCTGCTGGAACTGCTTGTACAAAGGTTCCCTGGGTAGGCACAAATATGGACAAAGTGTCACTCCCTTCTGCATAGCTGGCCGGGGACCCAGACCACACTGGTGTTCCAACTAAAAATATTGGGTAAAGAGTTTTTTTTTTTTTAAGCTCCTAAGCTCTGTCATGTTAGTAAGAATTTAGTTAGCAAAATGCTGAGTCAAAGTAAGTGATCTCTAGCTGTAGAGTTAAGATGCTGACACACTATTCCCAGAAAAGAAGATTTGAGGGCACACAAGTTTGTAAAAATAAATAAAATTTTCAGCTCTCTAGAAATCAGAGACAAACAACAAATTGAGAACTTTTTTTTTGGGGGGGGGGTCAGTCATCAGTCATGGAGCTTGAACTGTGGGCCGGCTGTCCCTCAGCTCTTCAGCTCAAGGTGAGCACTCTACCACTTGAGCCACAGTGCCACTTCTGGTTTTCTGGTGGTTAATTGGAGATAAGAGTCTCAGACTTTCTAGGCTGACTCTGAATCATAATCCTCAGATCTCAGCCTCCTGAGTAGCTAGGCTGACAGGCGGGAGCCCCTGGAGCCTGGCTGAATTGAGAACTTTTTGTTAGAATCCATCCCAGCAGTCCTAGGGGACAATGCGGAGACAGTCACACACAGAGGAAGATTACACAGAGACAGTCACATAAGGAGAAGGATTACAAAGAGGTTTATTGATGGGGCCATTTTCCCCACAGGAGAGGGAGAAATATGGCATCTGTCCCTATCCAGGTGGTAGCTTGTAACTCCAGGCTAGAAGGGGAGATCCTCTGTGTGCACAGGTAGGTCTGGGCAGAAAGCAGGAGTGCCCACCAATCCTGGCAGGAGCTCCAGAGCAGGGAGGAGTTCAGGTCTGGGTACAAGCTGCCCCGGGAAATGTAGTGGGAGGGGCTGAGGACCTGAGATGGGGGGAATGCCATCACTTTTTTATAAGAAATTATTGAACTTGGGCTGGGAAGGTGGCTCAGTGGTAGAGCGCTTGCCTAGCATGCAGGAAGCCCTGGATTCCATTCCTCAGTACCACACACACAGAAAAAGCCGGAAGTGGTGCTGTGACTCAAGGAGTAAAGTGCCAGCCTTGAGCAAAAAAACTCAGGGACAGTGCTCAGCCCTTAAGTTCAAGCCCAAAAACTGGCCAAAAATGTAAAAAGATATTACTGAGCTTGAACTGAGTTGTGCTGTTCTCAAGCCCATGGAGCTCCCTTCCATGCTAGCTCTGCCAGGGTGGGGCTGCCTAGAAAGCTCAGCTGTGTGGGCTACAAGAGGTACTTACAAATGAAAACTGAAAGTTAGCAGATAAGGTAACAGTTACAAGTGTAACTTCTTGTAATTTCTGACAATAGCCTCAAACCCATCCACTGTCAACAGTTGGTAGAGCAGTCAGTCAGAAAGACAACCAGCACAGCCAGTCTTGGGCTACCCAAACCGGTTTGTATGGATGGCTGCATGGCACTGTAAATGGACTAAAAGATGGTTAAACTGTGCACACACTTGTATAACATAGCATGTGAATTATGTCTCCCTAAGTGAATTTGTTACACTGAAAAAAAAGCTAAGCTTCAGTTTCCTCAGGCTTTCAGTGCCAAAACCACCCAAGTCAGAAACTGAGGAGCACTCTGTATAAAGCCGGTGCTCCAAAGAGCTCCATCCTGCATCACTGTGCTGGAAGTGTGATTCTCACTCGTCATCTCAGAAGACCACAGAGCACGTGCCTTGGAACGTTGGAGCTTTCTAGGTGAAAGACCACGCCACCCAGCCCTGAGAAGTACTGAGAAGTCATTGGCACAAATAAGCCAGAGTTCACAGTCAGAAAGAA